AAGATATTGGACTAAATTGGATGAAAGGTCTGATTCCCTTTCTAAAATAATTGAATCAGTGGTGCCTTCTAAAATAATGAAACAATAGTCTTACCTTCGGGAAAGGACTATAAACTCCTTAAAAGAATTATTAAGTCACCCTACTTAGGTGATTCTTGATGAAACCAGGAATCACTAGTGATAACGTCACCACAAGATTCTCCGTCATTGTTCCTTGAGGATAAAAAGACTCAGTCTAATACTCCCTTAACTATTTCTATAGTTAGTTCTTTTATAAACCCTACTTCATCTGGAAAAACAAAAAAAAACTACCATTCCTAAATTACCAATACACTCACCTCAAAATATTAAACAAAAGCAAAAGTCAAGTATCCCTAGTTAAAATATAAATGAAAATTCCTCACTTGTAGTTAGTACCCATCCACCACCATTTTCAACTATTAGAGGAAGAAAAGAATTTTGAAACTACTACCACAAGTCTTTTTACCTCAGATATACTTAAACCACCTGAGTCAACCTTATTATATCCTTTCTCGTCATATTTTTCTTCTAGTCAATTAAGTACAGTTCTGACGTAAGTAGACCTTGATACTTGGGTAACAAATTTAACATAACAAATAAAAGAAAGAAACTATTTTAGATCTTCTAAACCAAAAAGAACTACTTCAGATAATGTGCATTCATCAAATAAATTGTCTTCACACTCTAGAGACTGAGTGTATACAAGAAAATAACAAACGCTATTAACTAAATCTAGTAGTTCTAAAACTTCAGTTGGAACCTCTAAACAAAAACAAAAATAAAAAGAGAAATCTATTGAATACTCTTCTACTATTAGTTATTTTGATAATATCGATTATAACAGTAGTAGTAGTGATAGTAACGATAGTGATAACAACATGATATCAAATACACAAATTTTAAATTATCTTTAACGTAATATAGGAGGTACTACCATCTGAGTAGAACCTTTCTATTGGAATAGTTTACAAGACCTATTAAAATAGTTGGAAGACTTTGAAAAGGTTTACGAATAAATAAATGGGGTAAAGATCAAAAAATTATTATGTCAAAGATACATATAAGAGATGATATTGAAGAATGGTATGATACTGAAACAGAAGCACTCACTTGGGATAATTGGAAACAAGCTTTTATTACATTCTTCTGTAATTTCAAATGGGTTAATAAATGGCTTCATGAATTAGAAAAACTCTATTAATTGAAAGATGAAACCATTAATACTTATTACGCTACACACTGACGACTGGTTCAAAAAATTAATAAAACTGAAGGAATATCCGTAGCAAATAAATTAAGGTACTTTGTAAAGAGGTTAAGGTCTGAACTAGCTCCTTTGGTAATGATGAATAATGTAATAGATGGCTACCGCAGTCACTATAATTAGAAAATATGAAGCTGATGGAGATGTAGTTAAAAGAAGAGAACCTCGTAAACTACAAAAAAAACCTGATTCAGAGTTAGAACAAGAAACTCAACCTCAACAAAAAGAAAATAAGAAAAAGAAAACTACAGAAAAAAATAATTTGAATAACTTAGTGCAAAAATTTGAAAAGTTACAAATTAATTTAGCACAAAAATTTGATCAGTTAGCTAATCAAGTAAACTCTAAAGAACCTACTCCTTATAACTAAAATTTTAATAACTGAAATAATTGTTATAATAACAATCAAAATTATAACTCGTAATCTAATAATCGATCAATTACTTGTTTTAATTGTGGTATAGAAGGACATATCACTCAATATTGTTAACAACCTGATCGCAACAATCAAAATAATAATAGAAAAAATAATTATAATAATAATAAATGTAATCAAAACAATGGACGTTATTATAGAATGAAAATATCATGATAATATAATATTAAAAATACCTTCAATAATTAGTAATAACCTTTAAAAATACTGTTACAGAATGAAAATATCATGATAATATAATATTAAAAATACCTGCAATAATTAGTAATAACCTTTAAAAATATTTAGAATTTAATTAATGAATATTAGTTCATGTAACAAATAGTGACAGTTTAATAATTTCTTTTAACAAATATTTATAGTCTGTAACACACATTAATTAGTCGCGAAACAGTAGTACAAGATCACGTATTCATGTGATATTTAGTTACACAAACATAACTATCAATTCATAACATTAATTATTATCACTTAACATTATTTAACAATAATT